TCCGAGGGAACTAGATGGAAACAAAGGATGCGGGCTTAGGAAAGGGGGGGGGGGGGGGGGGGGGGGGGGGGGGGGGGGGGGGGGGGGGGGGGGGGGGGGGGGGGGGGGGGGGGGGTCAATGGAAAAACGATAGCTACACCCACACCCCATCCACAAACATCAACACCTACCCACATCCACCCATACCCACCCCAAGCCGTATAGGATTAAACCGTATAAGATTAAGCCGTATAAGATTAAGCCGTAAACATTTAGCAGGACAAGATTAAGCCGTATACGATTAAGCCGTACACATTTAGCCGTATAGGATTAAGCCGTATAGATTAAGCTGCATTGGATTAAGCCGTGCAGTATTAAGCCGTACAGGATTAAACCGTATAAGATGAAGCCATATAGATTAAGCCGCATAAGATTAAGCCGTACATATTTAGCCGTATAAGATTAAGCCATACACATTTAGCCGTATAGCATTAAGCCGTATAAGATGGAGCGGTGTAGATTGAGCAGCATCGAAAAGGACTAGCAAAACATCTTAGAAAAGAATGTACTTTGTTTATGTACGAAAAAGGGTGCATTGAATGAAGAATGTACAGCATACTTTTGTGCAGATCTTGTCGAAGTCAATTTCTGGAGATCGAAATTCGTTCTCCTGTCGGTGTGTTGAATTTTTTTCGAAATTACGCCGTACATGCAAGTTGGTCATGAAGGTGTGCGAGTTTTTTTTTGGTCGTTTTCGATCGAAATGATAAACCGGATGGACTCAAGTTTTTCGTAGATATTACATCAATCGATTCTTCATGCTACTATGTATCTTATGTGTGCTATTGATCAGGCTTATCATGGATGTAGAATCATACATCACTACGTCCTCGAGCCTTTTTGTCATGGTATATTTACGACCTGCTCATATATATGCACTCAGGTCTTACTACCAGTAGAAAGATTTTTGATTCGCATCGCATCAATAATTCGTCTTGAATTATGCCAATTCGTTTTCTATCCGGTCGGGCGTGCGTTTTTCGCGTTTACCTATTTTTTATATGAATCTCTATGGAAGCCATTTCACAAAGCACTGTCTGCAGTGTCAAGAGTATTCATCAGTATGTTCACTGCAGTTGTAAAGACAGTTCACAATTTACTACATGCAACTGCTTACACAGTTACAACAGCAGGGAAATCTATCAAGTCTACTATACGAGTTATCTTTAACTCGTTGAGATCTGCATGATCTTTACACAATTGTGTTTACATGTAAAAATAAACATAAATAAAGTTTGTCAGCGTAGATCTTGTGGCATTAAATTGGAGGATCTGATTGAGCAATAATTTTTGTAAATAAAAGTCCTAGTCTTCCCTATTGCAATCCATGACGAGACTAGCAGAAGACCAAATTGACATATCTTCCATAGTCTCTAATGGAATCAAAAGATACTGCCGCATAAAAAAATGCTCTTACATCCGGATTAAGCGCCCACTAGAAATGCAAAAGTCCATGATGATCGAAAGCTTCAAAAATCTTAACGTTAAAAACAAAATATATCTGTTATTGCCTGTAGAGCAGATAAGAATCTGGTCTCTCTCGTTCCACTCTAGTACTTCAGTATTCATGAACAATTATGTTTGGCAAAGCTGGAACATAGTGAGCAAGCTGTCGTTTATAGATGTTAAGATTCCCATTTCTGAGAGTTCCGTCCTGCATTGAAAACAAAGCTACCCCAAGTTTTATTTTTGGACGTTTAGACACATTCAGCGATAACGACACCTATTCTTGTAGCAGAGTACTGAGTGGTCCTGGTTCCCTCGTCCTGAACTCTCTCCAGGTAAATTAGGTACGGCCGGTTCCAGTGTGGGTGTGAGTGGATATAGGTATGCGTGTGGGGTTGTGAGCTGTGGATGTGGTTGCGGGTGTGAGTGAAAATGATATGACTACTCACAACCACACCCTCTGACCAATGAGAAAATGTAAAGCTTTCTCCTTTTCAGAATCTTCGCTTTTATATCAAAGTGCGTACGGCACTGCATATTGAACTTATAGTTATTGATAGCGTGAATGTGGGTATGTGCATCTGTTCTTCACCCACATCCGACAGAACTCAGTGTTTTTGAGCAGAAGTTTATGCCAAATTTCATAAAATTTTTCGCTCTATATCATATCTGCATTTGAACAGTATCTCTATAATGAAGATCATGATTTACCTTGTGGCCATACTCGGAAGCAAATTTATTGAAAACTGATGATGTTTTATAGTCTTTGTTTTGTATTATAAATTTCATGCGAATACGTGAAATAGTTTCATGAGAAAAACTACAAAGATTGTGACATGGACTCGATTGGCCATCGAGTTTTTCGGACAGTTGAGATCAGAGGACCAATCATCACTACCAACACAATTCTTACAAATGAATAGACTGTTTGGATCAACAGTTTTTTTAATGGCTTTTAATCGATTATAGTTTGCTTGCGTACCGAAAAATTTTTGTTGCCAATTTGGTTCATTCGGATCGGCTTCGTTTGAATAACAGCTTGATTGTGCATCACCAGCCACAGTTTGAAGAATTTCAACTTGAGTTCGGAGATGTAAAGCAAGAATTTCTTGGTCAGCAGCAGATGTATCTTCACTCCATCCTTGCGCATAAATCATATGTAAAAGTGCAGTACGCCATCCAGAATTGATACTATTATCAATCGATATATTAGATACTTGTCCGCCAGCTACCAGATGTCCGATTAGCATCGATTGATTTTCATTGCGACCTCTAGTTTGGAAGAGTACGTCAGCCACTTGATCAGGTTGTTGGCGAACAATTGTTTCAGGAATGAGACGAGATCCGAGTAGAACATTACCACCGGTAGGATTCGATGCAGCCATTATTTGCGCAAAATAATCATAAAATGATGGTACTGGAAAGGTAGAATTCGATATAAATTGTAAATCTGTATTATTCTTCATTAATTGATTGAATATCGCAGTAGTTATAGAAAAATCTCCATTCGGTACGAAAAATGCAATGACAATACTCGTATCTCTCATATAAAAATAGCCAGCGTAGCCCGCATCAGCTAATGTTGGCATAAATCGAATAAAGTCTCGAATGAAACGAGCATAACGTGTTTCATTCGCCGCAGAAATGCTGTAAAGAGTACTGACCATGGATGGGGAAGGAAAAGTACGTAAAACTGCCGAAAGCACAACAGCAAAACTTCCACCACCTCCACCGCGTAAGGCCCAAAATAGATCTTTATTTTGACAGGCATTGACTGTTTGACGTTGTCCATCGGCGGTGACAACATCAAATTCAAGAACTTGATCAGCTGCCATACCTTTCCAACGGGTCAATGGTCCATGGCCACCCCCTTGCAGAAACCCGCCTATCGCGCCTACCGTTGGTGATGCACCTCCAATTGCTGTTAAATTGTACGCAGACAACCAAGCATATACTTCACCCCACTGTGCACCAGGGCCTAGACGAATAGCATTCGAAATATTTTCACCACTACATGATGTATATTTGTCAATTAAAGTCATATTTTTCATATAATGAAGCCAGAGAAGCAAAGAATCAGCGGCTGTCGAACGACCCAAATAATCATGTCCAGTAGTTTTTATCACTAATCGAAGATTGTTTACACTAGCAAAATGTACTGTAGCTTGTACATGTTCAGCAGTTAAAGCATTTACTGCTAATCGAGGAACAGATCCCTGAGTACATATAACATTAGCTAGGTAAGCTGAACATGAAGTATTTTCCCAATTATGGTTTTGCATAGCTCCGACTTGATCACTACGCCATGTAGCATTTGTCCATTGGGCAAGGGCGTTAGTGCATATATTAATATCCGGTGGATTGCCGCTACAAAATGCAGCAGATGGTTGGACAGAGATTAATCGTCCATTGACGGATTCATTAAAAGTTTGCCAAGCTAATAAATTTGGCCAGCAGGTCGAATCATTCATCAAACACCGGCAACGTAATTCTTGTTAAAAACAAAAACATAAAAAAAGTGTAATTGCTATTTTCTTAATAAATAAGAAATTCGTTGAAACAAAATTTACTTGTTGCAGCTAAACTTTGACTAAAACTTGCAATGATGAAGACAAGTATAATAGAAGTTACACGTAGTAACATTTGTTTTTCGGTCTATATTAGGTTGTGCGTTGATCTTTCTTTTTACATTGACATATATAGACGCTTACCTTGATGTTGACACTCAACATCTCAGAAGATTTCTTTCTTTATCTTTCTATTTATTCTGATTTTTTATTGATAAGGATTCTGGATAAAAACATTCATCGTTCTATTAGAATGTTATGCATGTTTTTTATCATGAGTAAATTATTGGCAGCATTTAAATTTAAGTAGTTGTGTTGATCAAAATAACACACATCTTTTTCGAATAAAGGAAAAGATTACTGATAACTCCAATGTATTTTGAAATATTCAAAACTTTATTATTAATGGAGATATGAGTAGCAAGAACGAATCTAAATAAAACACGTTTATTTTCTTTCGACCAATTCTATATACCAAATGATTCTGTCAATAGAATTAAAAAATAATTTCATTAATAAGGTTTATTAATTCTTCAGTCAATATTCTGCTTTGCCTTCCTTTCTTCAAATATAAAAGTGGAATATTTGACTATCGAACGTGAATAAGAATAAAATGCAAAGCGCAATTTTTGCCCATGTTTTTTTTAGTAACACAATAACATGAATAAATTGCAATTGCTCCGGTTTTTGTAGCTTTAAATAGATTACTTCCCGCCGTATTTATCTTGTTTTCGAAACTTTCGTTCATCAACATTGATTTACAAAAGCCGAGCACGTATGTATGAATGCTATATTGTTACTTGGTGATTCATGTTGATTATCAAATGTAAAGACTGTTGGTAAACATGATACATTATCAATGAATTCAATGCATAAAAACAATACAAGACAGTTGCTCGCTTCACTTAATCGATTTTGTAGGAAAAGCAACAATATTTGACTATGACTATATTGATAATGTAATTATACAAGCAAAGACATAACAAATTGAAAATAGTGATTGAAAAAGGCAGATTCTTACTCTGATACATTTAAGATGCTAAATGTTGTTCATTGTCGTGCAGCAATGAATTATTGTGATCAAATTAGGATACTATAAATTATGTATTAGATGTGTTTGTCTGTTGACATCATAGCATAATTTCAATAAATGCAAACAAAAAGAATACATGAATCTTTGAAAGTAATGAAAAATAGTGACTAAAGAAGAATGTACCCATGTCGTAAAAATCGCTGAAAAATTGCTGATTAATCGCGATATATCGAAACGATAATCGTGAGCTGAAACGCGATTAATCGCCGATTTTTAATGATATTTTTAGCGATTATTACGATAAATCGCGATTTATCCCCCGGTTATTTTAAACATTATCCATTGCT